GTCCAAAATATGATAAAGAAGTCATAGGTTAGTACTTCGTCCAAAATATGATAAAAAAGTCATAGGTTAGTATGTCGTCCAAAATMWSMTMAAAAAGTCATAGGTTAGTATGTCGTCCAAAATATGATAAAAAAGTCATAGGTTAGTATGTCGTATGAAATATGATAAAAAAGTCATAGGTTAGCATGTCGTATAAAATATGATAAAAAAAGTCATAAGTTAGTATGTCGTCCGAAAGATGATAAAAAAAAGTCATAGGTTAGTATGTCGTATGTAATATGATAAAAAAAAGTCATAGGTTAGCATGTCGTCCGAAAGATGATAAAAAAAGTCATAGGTTAGTATGTCGTATGAAATATGATAAAAAAGTCATAGGTTAGTATGTCGTCTAAAATTTGATAAAAAAGTCATAGGTTAGTATGTCGTATGTAATATGATAAAAAAAAGTCATAGGTTAGCATGTCGTATGAAATATGATAAAAAAGTCATAGGTTAACATGTCGTATGAAATATGATAAAAAAGTCGTAGGTTAATATGTCGTATGAAATTTGACAAATGTTACAGTTTAGTGTTTGTTTTTTCAAAATAATAATTCGTGAAAAAAAATTCTCGTAGACAGAGGAGGAGGAGGAGGAGGAGGACGAAGATCTTCAACTCTTACCAAGAAAGGTCGAGGCCACCGATGATTCTGAGTCCACTGTCGCCACGGTGATAAATAGTGGAGAACCAGGAAGTGGTTCAAGGTAATTTACACAGAAGTCAGTGTTTGATATTTAGTTATTTTATTCTGAAGTCAACATTTGTCATTTTCACAAAAACTCATACATAAATAAACAGTCAACACAGTTCTTTTGCTCCACAGCCGCTCAATGTCGCAGCACAACATGGATCCCGAACAAGCTGCTGATAGCGAAGTGGCGTCCAATGATGACAAAGATGCAGTTGACGACTGTGACAGAGACGACGACTGGAAACCAGACATTGAGCCGCGGAAATCTGAGGCTAAGCGGCGCCGGCCCAAACCTTACGTCGTGGAGAGAAGTAAAACGCCCTGCAAGGTGTGTGGCGTTTGGTACAAGGTCCTCGGCAGCTTGATCAAACACGCCTGGAGTCATGTGGATGAGTCGCCGTGCGTCTGCGGAGTGTGCGGTGAGCGTCCAGAATCTGTCGAAGAGTTAAAGAAACATATCAGAAACCAACACCAGACTCACGACTGCGCACACTGTGGAAAATCTTTCTCCACCATCACCGGCCTCAACATCCACACCACGCTGCACACAGGAAATAGACCCTTCACGTGTGAAGACTGCGGCAAAACCTTCGCTCACAGGTCGAGTCTGAGCACGCATCACTGGGTTCACGTGGCGGACAAACCACACAAATGTGACATTTGTCCGAAAGCTTTCGGTCTGATGGCGCAGCTCAAAGCTCACAGAAAGATACATACAGGTCGAGACAAGTACCAGTGCAACGTCTGTGGTAAACTCGTCTGCGACCTCCGATCTTTAGCCCGCCACAAGGCGACACATTCGGGTGAGAGACGCTATGGCTGCGAAGTTTGTGGGAAACGTTTCAAACTTCCCTTCACATTGAAGTCACACGAGAAGATCCACACGGTCAGAGAGCGACCGTACCTCTGCGACATCTGCTGCAAAACCTTCCTGTCAAGCTGCACCTTGACGACACACATGAAAACGCACAGCGACGAGCGGCCGTTCATCTGCAACATCTGCAGCAAAGGCTTCATTTCCAACGGCCAGCTCAAGGCTCACATGCGAGTGCACACTGGCGAGGCACCGTATGGCTGCTCCGAGTGTGGTCGCTTCTTCAAAAGCAAAACTCACCTGAAAAATCACATCCGGAGCCATTCGGGCATCAAACTGTTCTTCTGCGCCGTTTGTGGGAAAGCGTGTTCCCGCCAAGAACACCTGACTGTCCACATGAGGACGCACAACGGAGAGAGACCGTACAAATGTTCGCTCTGCGACAAAGCGTTTACTCAGAGCCACTGTCTGAAAACACACATGAAGAGTCACTGCGCGGAAAAAAAGTAATTATTGAGTCTGTCCACCTGGAAACAGTTTTACAACCAAAGTTCACTTTTGTACCTGATTTGAGCGATCACTCCCGTTCACGTTTGTTTAACTGTTGTTCAGAAACGTTAAACTGACCAACGTTCTTTAATTATTATTCCACTGTAGCTAGTGTTGCATTCAGGGGGAGTGGGAAATTAGATGTTTCCTCCAATCAGAGTTAATCATTGTCAAACAAATGATCCTACATTTCTTTACTACTTGATTTGAATCTCAAATCCCACATGCTCCTGAATGCAGCATATGGTGCCTTCATGTTTTCTGCTTAACAATTCTTCTCACATGCTTCTTTGAAACAGTTCAAATAAACTTTCTGGAAATGTAAGTATGTGTTCGTGTTTTTTTGCTATGTACCATCAAGTTGTTGGCGTCATGGCAGTTCCAGCATGTTGTGTTCGGCCAGTATCCGTTGAGTTCGCGTGTGCACAAGCATCAGGGCGTGGATGATGACATGCAGAACGGGCGTGGCCTCTCGCTGGTTCTGAACACACACCAGCTGCAGGAAGTATTGTCGGTCAGGGAGGGCAAGAAATACGAACTCAGCCGCCTGACGCAGCACCCAAGGGTGGTGGGGGGCCAACGCCACCTTGTAGGCGTCTCTGATGTTAAAGAGGCAGAAGTCAGCTGAAGGTTTTTTTATGCACTAATTCAAAATAGACTGAGATGAGGTTGTTACCTGCTCAGCTCTCCGGGGGTTTTGTATTGTCCGTCTGCGTCGGGTCCTTCAGACAAACCCTCTAACATCAGCTTCAACCACAGCAGAGACCTGTGCAGTCTCAGCAGCGTCCTGCAGCCCGAGTCTGTACGGCGGGAGAAGTCCACCAAACCCGCTTTTAGCTCCGCCTCCACCATAGTTCGAACTGAACGATATGCCTCAAGGAAACAAAAAAATGTACCTCAAATTTGCTCAGTTTGTATGCAGACATGTTTTTTAGTCAGTTGTGTGTCTCACCCCGGTTTTTAGTCCAAACGATGGGGGAGTTTGTCTCTTAGCTTCATAAACGTCTGTGCTGTGTTTGAGTGACAGATCTCGTATCTGTACGACCTTCTCTTTCACCTTCTGGGAGAAAAAACTGACCACTGTCCCGAGAGACTCCATGAAACTGAAAGAGACGAAAACAGGAAGAGGTTTAATTTATTTATTAACAGTATTCTATCACTTTTTTCGGACGACATGCTAACCTATAACTTTTTTGTCATATTTTGGACAACATGCTAACCTATGACTTTTTTTTTCATATTTTGGACGACATGCTAACCTATGACTTTTTTGTCATATTTTGGACGACATACTAACCTATGACTTTTTTTTTATCAAATTTTAAACGACATACTAACCTATGACTTTTT